CTCTGGGCCCGCAGATCCTGGGACAGCAGGCCGCGGATCTCGGTGACACTGTCCGGGGTCGCCGGGGAGCCCACCTCAAAGGGCAGCTCCGCCTCCTCGTCCTGGACCACGGACACCACCTGCTTGGCACGCCGGCGCTTCTCGGAAAGGGTGGTGACTTGGGGAACCCCGGGGCTGGGGCTGCCCCCGCTGCCGTCGCCGCTGTCGCTGTACTCCTCGCCCCAGTCGATGGGCGCGCTCTCAGCCAGCAGGTGCAGGTTGGGGTCGCTGTTGTGCATGACCACGCTGTCCCGGTACAGGTTGTGCTTCCGCTGCACCGCGGCCTCCTTCACAGCTGTGGGCCACATGGGTCAGGAGCATGGGTGCGCAGGCCCTGCCTCCTTTCGGGGTGTGCTGGATTGTGGCCCAGGCTGCCTACCACCACGACCCTCCTGAGCCTTCGGGCAAACCCAGAGATCTGAGGAAACAGCTCAGGGAGGTGGCGCTGCTCCCTGGGGCCACACAGCTACCACTGGTTTATGTTTTTTGCTTTTGAGACAGAGTCTCATTACGCATTTCAGGCTGGCCTTGAACTCACTATACAGCCCAGGCTGGCCTCACACTCTGAGTGACCCTCCTGCCTTGGGAAGTGTGTGGTACTATGCTTGGGCTCTTGGGCCTTTCTTTGCCCCTTCTCTGCCACCAGCCCCGGCCCATCCAGGTCCGCGCGGCCACTCACCCTGCAAGATGTCCTTCATGACGGTCTGCAGCACCACCTCCTCGTAAGTGTTCTCCACCAGGAGGAACCTGGCGAAGTCCTCGAAGATCAGCTCCTGGAAGCGGGGCAGCTCCTGCGGGGAACAGCAGGGGGCAGCAGACTCGGGTCAGGGCGGCTGTGGCGGATCCCGCTGGGCCCGGAGGCTGGGGCTGGGGCGCTCACCGACTTGCAGGTGGGCGCCAGCTTCCTGAGCAGGAAGGGGATGGTGATCTGCAGCAGCGCCTCCCGGAAGAACCGCTTGCGCACCGTGCTGCTGTCGTAGTCGTATTTCTGTAAAGCGGGGGCGCTGGGTCAGCAGCTGGGACACTGGCGCCCCCCCGCGGGCAGCAGCCGGCCGGGCTCACCTTGAGCACCCGCTCCAGGATGCGCTGGATGGACTTGCACAGCTCCTCCCGGGTGGGCCCCTTCCCCAGCTCCTGGTGCAGCAGAGTCTCAAAGGTGTACACGGCGTTGTCCATTTGCTGCGGGAACAGCGCGGGCACGTGACCGTCCCGAGCTAGCCGCGGCCCCGACCACGGGGCGCAGCGAGGGGTCCGCGAGCACCGGAAGGGGCGGGGCACGGGGCTTCCCGGGAGGAGGGGCCTAAGCGAGCCCGGGTCCGAATGCTGTGGCTGGGGGAGGGGGTGAGGAACTGGGGCCCACCTCGCGCATGAGGATCTGGGCGCGCTGCTTGAACACGGACGTGCTGGACACGTCGAAGCGCTGCTGCAGCCCATCCAGCCGCAGCGGCTCCATCTTCTCATAGCAGCCCTGCATCTTCAGGGGGTGGTAGGCCAGCTGGGACAGCTTCTCCATGTACTGCGGGGGACGGGGACACGTGGGCCTGAGCTGGGGCCGCTCGGGCCAAAGCACCCGCACACCCACACTTGCCCGTTGGGCACCGGCCCCAGAGGCCCCGGACAGGAGGGCAGAGCCGAGGGGAGACTTCATCCCTCCCAGGGTGCTGGGTGACCTTAGGCAAATCACTCTCCTTCTCTGGGCCTTGGTGTCTTCAGCCCCCAGATCGGGAGATGGCTTTTCATGACACCTAAGGACCTTTCTGTTTCTCAAATTCTGCGATTCTTATTGTCTGTAGGTTCCAGAATCTGAAGTGGGGAGGAGGTAACTGAGAGGTAGGATGGGTTCTATCCCTACCTGACAGCTATGTGGGCACTGGGCAGCCAACTGTCCCTACATGGGGACCATGGGAGCCAGGTAACTGAGGGAGGCTTGATCTGCATTTGTAGGGTAACTGACTCCTGCTATTTTTTATAGACAGGGTCTCACTATGTATTCCAAGCTGGCCTTGAACTTTGAGCCCAGATGGCCTCAAACTCATGGGGATCATTCTGCCTCAGCCTCCTGAATCCTGGGGTTATAGGTCTATACCACCACATTCATTTTAAATTCTTTTATATTTTTAGCTTCCCTCTTGATTTATAAGGCAGGGAGCTAATGTTCCCTCTTTTGCCTAACTGCTGTCCTCCACCAGGACTTGGGACAGCTCTGTCCTGCTGTATTTCCAAGGGATTTTTACTTACAGTTTCTTCTCCCACACTCCCCCTACCTCCCACCCCCGCCAGTACTGGGGATTGAACCCAGGACATTCCCACTGAGCTATATCCTCTGGCATTTTTCACATTTTTTATTTTGAGTGAGGGTGTCGCTGAGTTGCCCAGGCAAGGATCTGACTTGAGATCCTCCTTCCTCAGCTCCCAGAGAGCTGGGACCCCAGCTTGCTTATGCGTCCCGCCAGTGCCCTGGGGAGAGCAGGCCCAGGCCCAGCGCACCTCGCCCAGCTTGTCGATGCCGCCCTCGTTGATCACGTTCAGGTTCATGTCAGTGACCTCCTTGAAGAAGATGTCCCGCACCTCGGTGAAGCCCTGGCTGGTGGGCACCATGAGGGCCTCCAGGATGGACGGGATATAGGGCTGGACGTGATTCCGCACACACACTTCCGCCTTGGGCAGGATGAACGCTGTGCCCAGAGGATCCAGGTCAGCTCGGGCTCCTGCTCGGCTGGCAGCACCCAGGGCCTCCCGGGCCCCGCAGGGCCTCCCGAGCTCCCAAGGGCCCGATGCCAGAGGTGCACACACTGTGCTGTTTTTACAGAAAGCCACTGGCAGTGGCTGCATTCCCAGGCTCACTGATTGCAGAGGAAGAGTGTGCAAAGACAGCAAACCCACACAGTAAAAATAACAGGGAATTCCAAGGCGGGGCCTGAGGTATTTCTGATGCTGATGGGAAGAAACTAAGAAGCTGCTGGAAAGGTGATGTAGCTTGGGAGGACAACACTTGCCTAGCATGCACAAGGCTATTTGATTTGTTTCAGAGACAGGCTCTCGCTGCGTAGTTCAGCTGGCCTCGAACTCACTATGTAGCCCAGGCTGGCCTCGAACTCACACTGGTCCTCCTGCCTCAGCCTCCAGAGGGCTGGGATGACAGGCGTGTGCCACTGCACCAGGCCTGGATTCTGACATTCAAAAACACTCAACAGCAAGTCCCAGAGGTACAGCGGAAAGCAAGCTGGCCGGGACCGGCAGGGCCACCTACCGCGGATCTTGCTGGCCAGGTGCTCCTTGGAGGTGACGATCTGGTCCATGTCTGTGCGGATGGTCGCCTCCATGGCGGGCCGGGCACGTTGCAGCTTGGACAGCGTCTCCTCGAAGAGCACCTTGACCCGCTCGTACACCATGCGGTACGCGGAGTCCGAGATCTGTGGCCAGCAGCGGGGTCATGCAGGGGGCTCGGCCGTCACTCCCACCCCACCCGGGCCCCAGCCCACCTGGATCCACTGTCGCTGCCGCTCCTGCAGTTTTCCCTTCAGCCGCGGTGCAAGCTCTGCCTTCAGCTCAGGGCCCAGCTCCTCCATCACCAGGTTGCTCAGGATCTAGGACCAAGAGGCCCAGGCCAGGCTTGCAGCGGGGCCGGCCGACCTGCCTCTCTCCGCATTCGCGCCCAGCCCCCCAGCCCCCTCCGTGGGCTTGGCCCTTGGCTCCACACACCCCCAGGGTGGCAGGCCTACCTGCCTGGGTGTCCCGCAGACCCCTCAGGCTCAGAGATCTTGCCCCAGGGCCTTTAACATAACGTCCAACACCGCACACCTGTTCTGGCTGCATGTGCTCGTGTGTGCGCATGGTCGCTCAATGTGTTATTTCTTTTTTAATTTGTTTTGACAAAGGGTCTCACTGTGTAGTTCAGGCTGGCCTCAAACTCAAGGTGATCCTCCTGCCTCAGCCTCCTAAGGGCCAAGATTACAGGCCTGCCCCACCGTGTACAAGTTGAATGTCAGTTTCCCCTTGGAGACAGCTCCTGAGGGCAAGGGCTGCACTGCACCCGCACATGGCTTCTGGTCCAGCGAGGTGCTCAGTACATGTGTGAACAAAGTATCAAGTAGCCAGGCTTGCACGGAGCCTCCTGTCCAGATCCGAGCTCTTCCTGTCCTCCCAAGCCAGTCTGCAGCCACCTGCAGGCCTCACCTGCACCTCGTTCCCGCACAGCATCTCCCAGGTGCCGTATAGCTCCTTGGCCTGGCGGTACATGCGGATGGCATCGGTGAAGGCCGGACCCTCCACCTTGGAGTCCTCGGGGATGCCTGGCCGCAGGGAGGGGAGAGGTCAGATTGCCCACAAGGGGGCGCTGTGATGCCACCCCTGTGGGAGGAGCCCCACCGACAGGCGGAGACACCCATCCCATCTGCCCCTAATGACGGAAAGGAGCCAGCCGGCTCTGGGGCTGGGCCTGGGGCCCAGTGGCGCAGGCACAGCCAAAAGTGCCTCAGTTTCCACTTCTGGCAACAGCAACAATGACCCCAGCCTGGCTGCACCTGTCCACCTGGGTGCTCCCTGGCCACAGTGGGGACAGGTTGGGAGCCTGAAGTCTAAAGCACAGGCAGGTTAGGGCACCTGCATGGATCCTTCTTTGTTTCTTTTTCTTCTTTGTTTGTGTGTCTTAGTACTGGGGATTGAACCCAGGGCCTTCCCACTCTCTTTTTAATGTTTTTCTATTTTGAGACTGTCTTGCTGAGTTGCCCAAACTGGGTTTGAACGCATACTGCTTCTGCCTCAGCCTCCCAAAGGCAGGCAGGCCCCCGGCACAACACTTCCTGTCAGGAACTAACAGAAACTACAGGCCCCTGCCAGCCCAGGCTCTGCCCTGTACCTGTGTCCATGTCAACACCTGGTACAGATGCTAGAACTCTACTGCGGAATAAATTCGGCCAAGCATGGTGGTGCACACCTGTAATCCCAGCACGCAGGAGGCTGAGGCAGGAGAACTGATTTTAAGACCAGCCTAGACTACACAGTGAGACTCTGTCTCAGAAAAAACAAACAAAAACAACAGGGCTGGGAGTGTAGCTCAGGCCTAGAGAAGGCCCTAGGTTCTATCCCAGCACACAGATTTAAAGAAAAAAAAAAGGAAGCATTTTTTTACTGATAATGACTAGAAAAATGCCATTTCTGTAATCACTGGTGGTGTCAGTGGCCTGTGTTGCAGGAGGCATGAATGGGACATGGACCCCAGACCCACAGCCAGGGAGGCTGTGGCAGGAAGTTGCAAAACCCGTTAGGGGAAGGCAGCTCCCGGTCACAGTGACCCCAGGGGAGGGGAAGCGGCAGTGGTGGCTCACAAACCCCGGCGCCCACTGCCATGACTGGAGGCTGAGTCACTGCAGGGAAAAAGCCCTTCTCAAGAGCGGAGAGCCCAGGACTCGCCACCTGCTCCAGAGAGGAGCCCCGAGATGGGGAAACGGGCCCCGTGCCATCCCTGCGCCAAAGGCCCCTGTGTGTCAGGGACCAAGGTCGGGCAGGCGGGACAGTATCAGGGCAGGGCTATCCTGGCCAGGGACCACATGGGCAGAGCCCGCGTGGGGCTGGGTGGCTCAGACCCTGGGGACCATCTCCAGACCACACACCCACCACTGAGCGTGCCGGGTTAGGGTCACCCTTTCTTTTTACCTTCCTTCATTGTTTTCTCTTTCTTTTTTTTTTGTACTGGGGATCAAACTTGGGTCCTTGAGCTTGCGAGGCAGGCAGCAGAACCACTGAGCAAAATTCCCGGCCCCCTTTGTTGTTTCTCTGACCCTGTAGTTTAGGGTGGCCTCAAACTCGCAGTGATCCTCCTGCCTCAGTGGGTGTGCACCACACCCCGCTAGCCCAAATATTTAGTTCACCACAATGGAACCAAATACAGATGGACACAGGGTCCACAGATAAGCCCAGTGTGACTGAGGTCTATCAGAGGGGCAAACCAACCCCCCAACCCCTAGTAATGTCTACTACAGCCTGGAGGCTCTCTACTGCTGAGCTACATCCCTGCCCTTTTTCAGATTTTGACACAGGGCCTTGCCATGTTGCCCAGACTCCTCTCAACCTCGGGATCCTGCTGAGCGTCTGGGCTTACAGGTATGGGCACCGCAGGCACAGAAGGGGAAGTTTCTTGCAAAAGAAAATGGCTGGGCCCAGTAATACACATAGTCCTAGCAGCAGGATCACGGGAGCCCAGAAGTTTGGGGTCAGCCTGGGCAACAGAGTGAGATCCAATCCCGACCAATCAATTCATCAATAAAAAACGAAACCCCAGGTGCTCACAAAGAGACGACCCTGTCAGTAGCTTCCAGCCTCCAGATCCGGGAGAAAGTGAAATTTCCATCCCATAAGCCATCCAGACTGGGCTCTGAGACACCAGCCCTCCCGGCTCCCACACACAGCTGCGGAATGGAAGAACCCAAGACCTGGCGAGCAGACTTTCTGAGCAAGGGAGCTCATGCCTCAGTCAGGCTGCAGGCAGGGGGGGCTTCAGTCAACAAGAAGAGGCCCCAAGCCCTCTGCCCCATGCTCACCCTGGGAGGGGCCCAGCCAGTGCCCCAACCGCCCTGCCACCCCCTGCTGCCCCAGGAATGCAGGATGCAGGGCCTGGGCGGAATTGGCGGCCGCCCAGCTCAGCTCGTTCCCCGCCCACCCACCACTTCCTGGCAGCCCCAGGAGTGAGCAATTCCAGCCCCACACATTCCAGGCCCAGGTTCTCACAGCCCCGGGTGGAGGGAAGGCACAGCCTGACTGTCCGGGCCAGGACACCCGTCCCTCCCCCAGCAGCAATCTCCAGGCTCCGCTCCTGCCTGCAGCACCCCAGACCCCAAGGGCCCTGAGGCCTCCCGGGACCAGCACCCCCCACCGATTTAGAGAGTAGAGAGGGGCTCCTGCCCGCCTGGTCCTGTCCCCAACCCACCAGGCCGGGTCAGCTGCCACCCTGGAAACCCGGCAGGGGCAGGGGAGGGAGGGCGCCCTGGGCCGGGCAGCACAGCCAGAGCCCCAGCCCCAGGGACCTGGGAACAGGAGGCCCTTTGTGGGCGTCAGGGCAGGGCCCAGCCCAGGTGGCAGGGGTTGGCCCAACAGAAGACCTGGTCCCACCCACCTGGGAGATTCCAGACGGGCAGAGGCCATTCTGGAGAGGTGGGGTGAGCTGGCTCCCACCGGGTGCCCACGCCAGCCCTCACCACAGGGTGGAGCTGTGCCTTGGCGGCTGAGGCGAGGGCAGGCGCAGGGGTCTCCCTCTGCCTTCCTGAGGCCGAGGCCAGGAAAAAGTTCAGGGCAGAAGGGCCCCACTGCGTACCCCACTAGGCCACCCCACCCCAACACAGGACCTGGGCGGGTCCTCTTCTCTAATCTTTCTCCTGCCTCTGAGCTATGATTGAAAACTATGGCCTATGTATAAATTTTTAATAATTTATTACAGTAAAAGACACATGGCCACAAACACCCTCCAGATGCTGCCCATCACCTCAGACATACGTATCCCACTGTTCTTGCCGTCTCCGGAAGCAGTTCTGGAAGGCTGTCTTGTCTGTAGTTGTGCTGTCCTGCCTGCCTCTATGTCCCCTGCCCCCTTTTTTTTAAAGAGAGTCTCACTATGTAGCCCAGGCTGGCCTCAAACTCACAGGGATCCTCCTGCTTCAGCCTCACAAGTGCTAGGATCACAGGCCTGCACCACCACACCCAGTTTGATGTAATGAATTGATTCATAACACTTGTTTTTCATGGTCATATGACTCTGGGGAGGAGCCAGACGTCACACAGGGCCAGATGGGTGGATGGGGATGCATTATAATGTTCTTCCAAACCTGGCTTCCCATCCAGTGGCACCCAGAAGCAGTATTCATCTGGGTTTTTTTTTCTTTAATCACAACTCATAAAGACACTGGCAAAGAAGGATTTCCAGAAGTGCTTCAGATAGTGGCAAAAACAGTGGGATAAGTGTGTTCAAAGCCAGAGGGATTTGTGCAATGTGTCTTCCTGTAATAAATTTTTCTTTTTTTTTTTTGGTTTTTTGAGACAGGGTCTCACTCTGTAGTTGAGACTGACCTGGAACTCAATGTGTAGCCCAGGCTGGTTTCAAATTCACAGCGATCCTCCTGCCTCAGCCTCCCGAGTGCTGGGATTACAGGCGTGCGCCACCACGCCCGGCTCCTGTAATAAATTTAAATTTAAACTTTACTGCATTTTTGATCACCAATATGACTATTTGCCCTGCAGGTCTCAGGGACCTGCTCCAACCACATGGAGGGACCCTTCCCAGGCCCAGGGCCAGCATCTCCCCCAGCACACACACAGGGCTCCCAGGGAGGCCCCCATGCAGCTGTGATGACTTGTCACCCTGGGGGCTCATACATTTCACAATGTCCCCTCCAGGCCAGTTTTCCCTGCAGTAGGGCAGGAGACATGCCCGGCTCTCTTGCTGCACCCTCAGATGAGACCTAACCATGTTTACTGGCTAAATGACTGGGCTAGGCAATATATCGCAGGAGTTTACAGACATTTCCAGGCCACTGGGCACATTGGTGGTAAAGAAGGAAATGATATAATAAGAAAAATCTTTACCCAGCAGGAAGTGAACTCTCCCTGTGAGTCTCCACAAACCCTGTGACATACAAGACAATTTACAAAGGGTCTAACAGGAAAGTCAATGTAAAGTCACACTGCAGGAAAGCAGAATCGGGATTGTGATTTTGTGTCAGGGCTCAAAGATTCAACAACCACACACCTCTGAACAATTTCCTAATTTCTCCTGGGCAACACAAGTATTTTCATTAGGGAAAAAGATTAAGGCTGATCATCAGGACAGTTTCTTACAACCCTGGAAGGGAGAGTAGCTCGTAGAGCAGGGTTGCCACACCGCACTCAGCCACTAGGTGTCACTATGTAATACATTGCTAAGTCCTCCCTCTCCCGGCAGCTCACCGTTGTTGCAATGCCTGACACAGTCCTGCAGCACGGCCTGCCACTTGTCTTGCTCAGCTTCCGTCATCATGCAGAAGTAGTAGTGTCGTGCATAAGGGTGCCAGAGGATGAGTGGGAACTGCGTGGGGCACTTGAAGATGGGGGTGCCACCCGACTTTGACGTGGTCCCTGTGGAGACAGTTCCTTAAGCAGCTACCCTCTGTGGTGTCTCTGGAGGGCAGCTGGGAAGGCTGACATATCCTGGGGTGGCCAGGATCACTGGGGACATGACAGACTTTTTTCTCTCTCTTTTTTTTTTTCCCTCTCTTTTTTGAGACTGGGTCTCACTTGTAGCACAAGCTGGCCTTGAACTCATGATCCTCCTGCCTCAGCCTCCTCAGTGCTGAGCTTATAAGCATGTGCCACCACACCCAGCATGGAGCAGCCTTCTTTTTGTCCTCCACAGCCCGGCTAAAGGAACCTCAGAATCTGTGATTGGTGCTGACCCCTTCCCTAGAGCAGCAGGAGGTCACACCTGCCTCCCTCATGCATAATCTAAACTCATGTGTTGGCCACAAATGACCAGTGAGAGCTCTCGGGTTCAAAGGCCAAGCACTGCCCACTTGAGTTTCCCTTCAAATTTCAGCAGGAGAGGCCAGAGCCTGGTTTAAATGTCCAAGTAGGAGGGAGGCATGTAAGGTGGGGAAACAAAACAAATAAAAAGGAATTTCTCTTTCTATTTGGTCCTCAGGGATATGTGAGATCCAGCGAGATACCTGGTCCTGGGCTGTGCCCTGGCCCTGTGGTTAAAGATGGGACAATAGCAGCTTTCTATGCCCTGGCGTGGGTCAGCCTGGGCCGGTCTGGGGGCACCCAGCACTTCTTGGGTCTGGACTACACCCCAAAGTCTCTCTTCTCAGCCTGTACTTTGCAGATGCTTAGGAAAATGAGGCTTGGCCCGCACGGCCCCCGGAGACAGGCCTGGGGTGGGGACCTCAGTCTTTAAAGAGTCCCGCTGGGGAACACCCTTTCTGCTCTGCAGGCCACTTGTTCTCAGGAAGGAGCAGGCAGGCAGCACCCAGGCAGGGAGGCCTGCTTCACACTGGGCACCAAGAGTCCTGACTGTCTCCCTGGGGTGCCTCACCAGGGTGGGGAGAAACAGGGCACCTGGAGGAGCAACTCCAAGCAAAGTCGGCATTAATACCTGTTTTACCGATTATCTCAGCGGGGCCACTGACTGCTTTCTGCAGGGCAGCTCTCAAGAACCCAGGAGATAAGAAAGAGAGACATGGGGCCCCCCATTCCACACTCCCATTCCATCCAAACCCGGATAAGGGCTCACACTGATCCAGGCCCAACCCAGTGTGGCCTTGGGCAAAGTCAGCTCTCAGGACCAAGGCACTGCCACCTCCCGAGGCCTATGCAGGGTGCCAGCCTAGGGAGGGTGGCCCTTTACCTGGTAAAGAGTTGCCAATCAGCTCCAGGTACTGGTCCAGGGAGGTGAGGACTTTGTAGCCTGCACTGTTGACGATGGCACGGGGTGGGACCTGCCGCTCATAGGCCTGAGAAGGGCAGGAGAGAAGGTCCTGAGAGTCAAGGATGTGGCCGAGCCCAAATCCCAGCTCCAACTCTGGCTCCAGGGCTCAAGGCAGGAAGGAGGAGGGGAAGGAAGAAAAGAAGGGAAAGGGAAGACAGGAAGAGTCTTTCATGGCGAGCTGAGAGACCAGAAGAGTGACCTCAGCATGGCCCACCAGTGTCTAACCCAGAACAGAGGCTGGGTGAGCTCTGCTGATGCACTTGTCATGGTCACTACCACCACACTGCCTCCCATCCCACAACTCTACTGAGTGCTAGGTACATAATGGCACTGTAGTGAGGCACAACACGCTTCCTTTCACAGAGCTATCTTGATCCGAAAGGTGGATCATGACTCACATTTGCACAACTGGGAAGGAGCAGACACAGGCTGCTATCTGCCTCCAGAACTAGGGTCTTTGAGTCTTTGATTATTACCTAGAACTCCTCTCCCAGATCCCTAGGTTCTATGCAGCCCACAATCTCCTTTGGATGAGAATTAGGTCAGGACACAGATCTCCTACAGGAATAGGAAGAAAGGTAATTCTGGTGTAATGGCTCCTACAGCAGGGGTGCCATGCTGCTCCAGACCACTAGGTGTCACTACTGGACAATGATGGGCAGCATGATAGCATGGTCTTTCCCTTTAACTTTGCTCTAGAATCTGGTACTGAGGACTAAACCCAGGATCCTCACACTGAGCTACATTTATAGTTTTTATTTTGAGACAGGGCAGGAATTTTAGCTCAGTGGTGTCATGCCTGCCTGGCAAGTGCAAGGTCCTGAGTTTGAATCTCGGTATTGGGGAGGGGGGAGGAAAAGCTATTTTGAGACAGGATCTTGCTAAGTTGCCCAGGCTGGGATTGAATTTACAATCCTGCTCCCTCAGCCTCCTAGAGGGCAGAAATTAGAGGTGTGTGCCACCAGGCCCACTAGAAATGCAAATTCTTTTTTTCTTATGATGTGTGGAGAGGTTTAACTCAGGGTCTCACCATGTAGTTCAGACTGGCCTTGAATTTAATATGTACCCCAGGATGGACTTAAATTTGCAGCAATTCCCCTGCCTCAGCCTCCTGAGTACCGACGTTACAGGCATGCACTACCACACTAGACTAGAAATGTAAAATTTTTTTTTCTTTTGGTACTGGGGATCGAACTCAGGACCTTCTCCCTGTGAGTCAGGCTCAGTACCATTGAGCTAAATCCCTGACCCAGAAATATAAATTCTTGACCCTACCTGGACCAGCGACCTGTTTTCCAAGCCCTCCAACAAACTCTGAGGCACACTATCATTTGAAAACCACTACGCTGGAGGCTGAGGGTGACCTGACTCCTTGAGAATTCACCTGTCCTGAACACGGAAGTACCTCCGGCTGCTTAGGAGAATGTCTGTCTAGTAGATGAAATCAAGCCTGTGGCTCAACCAGTCAGGGCTTCTGAAAGAGCCCAAAGCAAAGACCAGGCACAGCCCACTGGGAGAGAAGAACACACAGCAAGCCTAGGGCAGGGACTGGCCAGAAGACAGCTATTCCTGCTGCACGACTGGACCAGAGGAGGGAGGCTGGTCGGTGTGCAGGAGGGTGTGGGAAACAGGGGTACCAGGCTAGGGAAGAGCAGAGCTCATCGAGTTGGGGAACTCAGGGCCGGGCGGGGACCTCACCACTTTGTTCTCGTACAGCACCAGCCCGTAGTTGTGCGGCACCAGGCTGAAGCGGTTCCTCCACTTCTTATTGTCCTCCTGGTACTGGAAGAGGTTCCCCGAGAAGACGATGCGCTCCTCCAGCGGCACCTGCGGGCGGAAGTGAAGGGGACCTCACTGCAACCTCTGACTCAGCCGGGCCCGGGGCAGACACAGCCACCCACCTCCGCCACTCTGAAGCAAAGCAGTTACCCACAGTCCAGCTCTGGACCCCAGTTTCCCATCAGAACAATGAAAACTTGAACAAGGTGTCTCCCCAGGGCCGCTCCAGCCCCCACGCCGACCACACGGCTTCCCTGAATCTGGGTAGTGAAAGAGGGAGCCTTGTCGGGTGTGTCTGATGTTTGACCTGCGCCCCTGCAGCCAATGACCTGAGGGGCTCGGATGGCCCCCACAAAGCCCTGGCTCAGCCTGGCTCACAGGGTGACCTCGGGGGCTCCCTCAGCACTTCTTAGAGCCTCAAGTTTCCTCATCCGTAAAATGGAGGCGGAAGCAGCTGGCACCTGGCAGGCAGCACAATACCTGAGAACTGCTGTGACCAGAATCCGAGTCCATGCAGCAGTCGCTCAGCTTGGGAATGATTTGGGGCTGGGGCCAAATTGACTTTACGGGGAGCCACAAAAGCCTCAATGGGACGCGAGTTGGGTAGACAGGGACACACACACACTGTGGGCAGGTCCTGTTCTCTGTTTCCTGGCAAACTGTTCTGAGATAAATTCACTGCCATTTGCACAATGAACTTTTTTTTTTCCAGATACGAGCATTAAACCCAGGGCCTTCACATTGAGCTACATCTCGGCCCTTCATTTCATATCTTTAAGATAGGGTTTTGCTAAGTCACCGAATTTCCTAGGCTGGCCTTGAACTTGGGTGTTACGGCTTGTGTCTAGATGTCCCCTCGAAGCCTCATGCGGTCTTGGCGGGTGCTTCTCAGAGATGGCTGGATCCAGAGTGTGTGGTGCTGGGATCAAGGGTGTGTGATTACTAAATCAGTCCACTGAATGGTGGGCACAGTTAGGTTAGGATTAAGGGTGTCCCATCCTGACTGTGAGTGGATAGAATATAAGGCACAGAAAGAATCAGACCCTTATCCCTTGCTGCTGCTGCTGCTGCTGCTGCTGCTGCTGCTGCTGCTGCTGCTGCTGCTGCTGCTGCTGCTGCTCTCACTAGTTGCTGGTCGCTTGCCACTTGTTACTCACTGCCTTCCGCCTGTCATGAACTGCTTCTCCTCTATGGTGCCCCTGCCAGGCCACCCTGTCTTGGAGCCAGCCAACTAGGAACCAAAACCTCTACAAACTGAATACTCCTTTCCTCTTTTAACTTTGTGTGTCAGGTACTTTGTCTCAACAAAGAAACAAGAAAAGTAATTAAGACATTGGGATTACAAACATGTGCTGCCTTCTTGACTCCACTCTCCACCACCACACAAAAACAAACTAATGGTGGGGGAGTGTTGGGACAAGGTCTTATTATGTAGTTCAGGCTGGACTTGGACTCACGATGTTCACCAGACTGGCCTTGAACTTGAGGCAATCTTCCTGCCTCAGCCTCCTGAGTGCTGGGATTACAGGCATGTGCCACATCCAGCAAAGAAAACTTCTATGGTGCTCAATAAAGGGAAAAATTATTGTTTCAATTGTGCCCACACCTTCTTGGCTTCCTTGCTTGCTCTGGGTCTGTGGACAGGAGCCAGAGCAGCTGGAGTCCCAAGCCCGACACTGCCTCCCTCTCTCGCCCCTCAGTGGCCTTCAGACTTCCCTCTCCCCAGCTTCCCTTCCCACTGCTGCTCCTCAGGGAAACCGGAAGTACTCCTGGAAAGGAGACCCCATTGTGCTTGAACAATAGGCTCAAGCGGCTTCCTACCAGGATGAAAATATTTACGGGATCACAAAGGCTCCCCCTACACAGTGGCCACAGCGGGCAACGTCACAAAGCCACAGGCTCTGGCTCTGCATTCTGTTTACACCACTGCCACCCAGCCCCACAACCTCTGTTTTTTCTAGAAAGCCAGGCGTGGTGGCGCATGCCTGTAATCCCAGCATTTGGAAGGCTGAGGCAGGAGGATGGTGGTGAGTTCAAGGCCAGCCTGAACTACATAGTGAGACCCCGTCTCAAAAAAAAAAAAAAAAGAGGTTCAGCCGCTAATGACGACACTGGTGGCCAAGCTGACCTGGCTGGCACCCTACTGCTAAGGGAGGAAATCAGCTCAACCAGATCCCCCAGAGGGAAGCCAAGGGTTTTCAGACAGCAGCCACCAGCCAGGAGTACATTGCTACCGGGCCTTGAATCAGCCATCAGTCACCAAAACAGACTAATCCCATCATCTTGGGCACACGATGCCCTCAAACAGGACTTCCTAGGCTGCCAGGGGACCTGCACTGTGTCCAGCGGAATGAGGGCTCGGACAGGAACCCGCAGCCTCACCAGCAACCTGACTTCCATTCTGCCTCTGCACCTCCCCACAAGCCAATCACAGGGGTCCTTCCCAGGAGGCTTTGCACGCCTCATCCAGCCCTCGCTGAGCCCAGCCTGGAGCAGGCACGTCCCACCCCTTACTCAGTATTTCCTGGCCAAACAGTCCTGCAGCTAATGATGAGATCACGACAAGGCTGATGGAGGTAGGGTCATATCTTCCCGGCTCCAGACAGTTTCGCCCTGTGTTGGAGCTGTTCTCGGCCCATTTGACAGACAAGTAAACCAAGGCTCCTCAAGGAAGAGCCGACCTCAAACCCGGGGACATCAGGACTCTACAGCCCTAGCTCTCACGTCCCCCCTGAGAGTTATTGGGGCACAGAGGGAAACTGAGGGCCAGAGAAGTCAAAGTCCAAGGCCAGGCAGCGGAAGAGCCCAGCGGGAACCCCGACCCACGTCTCTCACCTTGCGCCAGAGCAGTTGTGCCTGCGGCAGCCCGGTGCCTTCGATCTCATGGCGCATGCTGTTGAAGAGGGCGACGCCATACTGGTCCTCATAGAACTGGAGGAACTCCCTCAGGATCTTCTCAGTTTTCTCTGGAAGGGAAGCATTAGGAGGAAGTTAGGTCGTCCTGGATACCTCGGGCCAAGCATCCAGGCCTCAGCACCGGCCCAGCTCACATCTTCACTGCAGGGTTTACCCTCGCACGGCTCTGGGATGGAGCCTAGGGTGGCGCCAGGCTGACCACCCGCCACACCCGCCCTGTGACGCACTTCCGGCCAGTCTGCAGTGCCTACGCAGTCCACCACCTGGAGAGAGGTGACCCTGCAGGCAGAAGGTGGGCAGTGGCCACACAGAGAACACTCAAGCCCGACAGCTCCAGGAGAGACCCTCAGCCTGGCCAGTGACCAATCAAAGGCCAAGCAAGACTACATGTCCTCCAGTCACATTGGCAAAGATGTGCATTCAGGAGGCTGAGGCAGGAGAACTGCATGAGTTTGAGGCCAGCCTGGGCTACACAGTGAGTTCAAGGCCAACCTGGACTACACAGCAAGACCCTGTCTCAAAATAAAGACACAGGGCCGGGGATTTAGCTCAGCGGTTCGGTGGCCTGCCTTGCAAGCGCAAGGACCTGAGTTCGATCCCCAGTGCCAAAAAAGTTCTTAAAAATAAATAAATAAATAAAGACACAAACACAAAATCTCTATGGAGATACACAAACAAGGGGCGGTGGTACAGGCCAGTTACAGGGTCACGCACTGCACAGCACTTCATTTAAAAAGACCAGTCATGTCTGTGCACACATATGAACCCCCTCTGCTCGATACTTAGAAGAAAAGGAAGAAGGCAGCAAGCCAGGCTGAGAAGGTTCAGGGCTCCCGGTGAGGGAGTGGAGGATGCGTCATGAGCTTCACGTTCTGCTTTATTCACTTTTATAGCACTGAGTTACTTTACAAGCATACGTTCTTTCATAATAAAAAAAACATTCGACCCCTCGATCAATCCTCAGCACTGAAAAGAGAACACAAAGTAAAAACAGAAGTATTCAGAAATCAATTGCTAGCTGGGTATGGTGGCTCACGCCTATAATCCAAGCACTCTGGGAGGCTGAGGCAGGAGAACTGCAAGTTCAAGTCCAGCCTGGGCAACTTTATCAAGACCCTGTCTCAAAAGAGAAAACAAAAAAGGACTGGGAATATAGCTCAGCTCAAAGGTTCACAGGTCCTTAGTACTGGCTGTATGCTTCTCTCTTCTGCTCAAGTGGTTTCGGAACAGACAGGGCAAGGCCCACAGAACAGGCGGCAGGGCAGGCCCTGGTTACGGATGAAGAGACTGAGGCCTGGAGAGGTGACACCAGCAGCCCAGGGTTACACAGCTGGCAGGTTCACAGCTGGGATGCAGTCCAGGACAGCCAGGAGCTGGTGGCCGGAGGGCTCGAGCCACATGCCACACCCAAGGTCTGGGGCTGCGCGGTGGCATTTCAGAGACGGCAGGGGCGGGGCGCACCCCTTTTCTGGAATGAGGTCGGTCACACTGTCCAGATTCCACTTTGGGGAGAGGAAGGGAGAACAAATGGGGAATTCGCTTTGAAGCCCTGTTTTTTAAAAACCATAAACAGCCAGAGACCTTGGGAATTGTTTTGAAAGACGATGAAGCCAGGGAGAGGGGCAGAGGAGACAGAATGGGAATCAGGGCAACCAAAGAAACAGGGTCACGGCTGACAGGGACATGGACAATCACATCCTCATTAACCTCACCTTGTGTTTTTTTTGTTTCCTGCAGCACTGGGGATTGAACCCAGGGCCTTCACTCTGAGCTACCCTTTTTTTATTTTTCACTTTGCATCTTGCTAAATTACCCAGATTGGACTTAAACTTGCAATCCTCCTGCCTCAGCCTCCTGAGAAACTACGATTATAGGCATGGGCCCTCACACCCAGCTTCCGGGTCAGGCATGCTTTACAGCTTGACCCCAAAGGATCTTCCTGAGACCCTGAGGACTCAGAGCCATGGTTGCCCTTTGTTAGAGAGGAGAGGCCGTGGACCTGGTGTCCTCACAGCCCAGGTTCGGCCCTGACCTGTAGCAGCCAGCGGAGACCACGCCTCCAACACGGCCAGCAGGATGGGCGGGCCCAGGGCTATGGGTCTGGAGGGTTCCTGGCAGCCCTGAGGAGCGCACTGTTCCTGGAAGGCCTGGAAGCTGTGCCCAACCCTCAGGCCAGGCCCCCAGGAGCTGCCACCCCAGCGAGGTCTCCAACCCCGGCCTGCTCAACACAGAAGCCCTCAGCTGTCCCGCGGCTGTGGCCCAGATGCAGAGCCCAAGCCAGGCATTTACAAGGACCCCAGGCTGCAGTGTGGAGGGGACAGAACTGCCACCGCCACGGATGCCCCAGAAACACAAGGGATGGGACTTAGCCACCACGGGGGCCAGAGGGGTCCAGCCTGGGGCAGCAGCTTGGCCAGGGATGAGATACGGGTGGATCTGCGTGCTGGGACACAGCCCCTCGCCTTGGGGTCCCTCACGGTACCAGCTGTAAACAGTGCTTAGAACCCATTCCTTCCCTCGGGCCACCCTGCAGCAGCTGCAGTGGGATCTCAGGTATCTGTGGGTGGCCCTGGGAGCCTGGGGCACCCCTCTCCCCCCATACCTGCCCACACCAGCTCTTCCCGTCTCCTTCCCGGTTGTGGGAGACATCAGACAGGGACGGTGAGACCCAGGCTCCCCCTTGAGGGGGGACTCTGAACCAGGAAGGGTGAGGAGATCCTGGTTACACAGCCAGATGGAAGCAATCAGGGTTCAAGCCACAGTCAGCTGCCCCTCCTGGTCCTCAGGGACCCCCAGAGCTGCCCCCAAGGGGAGCAAGGAAAGAGGCAGGGGTGGCCTCAGGGTCCTGGGCTAGCAGGGGGACAGTGTATGGGTCTGTGCCAGTCTCGCCCGCCTGCCCAGATGCCACATGCTGTTCCCCGCACGGATGCGGCCCAGGCGCCGCTGGAGGGAAGGGGCGGGCGGCTGGGGGTGCGACTAGTGCCCCCCTCAGCCTCCCAAGGAGCAGCAGCTGTGGGGGCTCCCACTTTCTTCAGGAGCCAGCCCTGAAAGTGCCAGCCTGTGAAATGGGCATCACAGACCCGGTTCACGCTCCACAGGACATGGACAGCTGCGCTGGGCTCGGCTCGGGGCCCCACAGAAGCTCCCATAACTGCACTGGGGCGAAGCCTGTGACGCCCACGTGAGAGGCGCTCTGAGATATTTATTAGCAGGTGTAACTTTTATAGCTTGAAAAGAATCCAATAGACTTTTTCTTTTCCTCTCCTAAAGAACCAAAACAAGAATCACGAGATAATGACAATCTCCAACAAAGACCGGACAAAGAAAACCCACCACAAAGGAGAGGTAGGAAAGCAGGGCCGTCTGCAGGTGTGTGCATGTGTGCGTGTATGTGCGTGCGTGCCCTCAGGAACACCCAGGAAGCCAGGATGCCCTGACGGGCTGGGCCCTCTCCGTGCCCCTTTGCCAGCAAATCTCCAGAATCAGAACGCATGCTCACCTGTCCTCCGCCATGACACACACACCCGGACTCTGCAAATGGCCCCAGAGAGGAGAAAATAAAAATGCCCACTTTACAGGTGCATAAGCCAAGGCTCAGAAGAAGCTGGTGTGGAGGTGCACGCCTGTAGTCCCAGCACACGGGAGGCCGAGGCAGGAGGATCACCCAAGTTTGAGGCCAGCCTGGGCTACACAGAGAGACCGTCTCAAAACAAAATAAAACAAAACAACCATAGCTCATGACGGGTGATTTCACTCGGTCAAAAACGAACTGAGCCCCGGCCTGGGGATGTATAGTTCAGGGGCAGAGCACTTGCCTGGCACGTGTGAGGCCCTGGATTCTATCTCCAGTACCAGGGAGAAAAAATAAAAACCATACTACGTCCTCTGGGGTTGTCCCTGCACTGTGGGCCCTGCCCCTCAGTAGCCAAGGCAGCCTGTGGATCCCGTGAGCAGGGCTGAGTGAGGGCACCACTGCCCGCCTGGGCTCTGTTCCCACATCACCACTGCATGAGGGCGGGAGGGGCTGTCTGGCTCTGAAGAGGCCACTTCCCAGGACACGGGGCCAGGGCGACACACACGCGCGCACACGCACACACACACACACACACACACACACACACACACACACACACACACAACCGGGTGTTGTTTCTGAGCCAAGAGCCAAGAGTTTCCACGATCTTAACCTAGCTCCATGGATCTTAGTGCAGCTGGAACCCCGTGTCCAAGGGCTGCACACATACACACACAACCGGGTGTTGTTTCTGAGCCAAGAGCCAAGAGTTTCCACGATCTTAACCTAGCTCCATGGATCTTAGTGCAGCTGGAACCCCGTCTCCAAGGGCTGCACCTCTGGGATGACCCCAAAGGACTCCCTCACCAGCCAATCCAAATCCCCAGGGCTCCCCAGGCGCCCACCCACTGAGAACCTACCCAGTGTCTTTGCCCCCATTCCACAGAGAAGCAAGGGGAGGCTCGGGGAGACCCAGGAGCTTCCTCAAAGGCACACAGCCCAGTAGAGGAAAAAAGAGAGAGTTTTGAGCCTGGAGTCTGTCCAGAGCCCACTCCAGAGGCTCCCAGCCCCAGCAGCCCCCCTCCACTGGGCCACAGTAACTTTTCTAAAAGGCCCCAACTTTCCCTCCTCTTGGGGGGCCCTGCTCAGTGCCAAGGGGAGAAAAAGCAGGCCACTATCCCTGTATTTTTTTTCTTTGTCTTTTGCAACAGGGTCTAAGTAGTTCAGGCTGACATCAAACTCACAACGATCCTCCTGCCTCAGCCTCCTGAGTGCTGGGATTACAGGCGTGCGCCACCATATCCAGCTCATAACCCCATCTTACAGATGTAGAAACTGTGACTCTGGAGGCACTGTGACTTTCCCAAGGTCACACAGGCTGAGGTGGCAGAGCCAGGACAGAAGCCCGGAGTCCCTCGCCTCCACGCTCCCACCTGGTCAGCAGCTTTCCACCCACTGGGGGCCCTGCCGTCCAGCCTCCCTGGGGCTCGATATCCTGCCTCTCATGGGCTGGGTGGGTCTCGGCCAGCTCAGCTG